GACCACCCAGACTAAATGTTAGAACTTCATAAAAGAGCAGGGTTTATCATTTGAATATTACTGGTAGAAAACCGATAAGATTTTGTTGGGGGGAACAGGGAAGATATCTAATGAAGTTATTCATTTAAAATTTGTTCAAAAAATATTCATAGCACTGTAAATTGCTGCTTATAACATCTTAAAATAGCATACCATGAATACACTTTCTACTCTTTCATCAGAGGACAAAAGAATAACTTGAAGAAAGTGTTTCTCAAAATGAGGTCCAAAGGCCCAAAAGGATTCTAATATGAGCTCAGTAATAAACATGTTAAACAAACACCCAGTGCTATTATTCTGCATTCTGAAATACCCTACGGCAAAGAGCAGTACTTAAAAGCAAGATCATCAACATATTCTGATGTGTTAGAATTCTCTATAATTATATGTTGAAATACTGGTTTTAGTTTTAAAGTTCCATGCATTAAGAGAAACACATAAATGCCTTAGAAATGAACACAGGAATGCCTAAAAATATTTTCTTTTGATATTGTCATTATGTTCATACATAGTTATTTGAAGAAAAGACAATATATGCTTTGGAAAAGCTTTAAAAAGCTTTGGAACTTACATTTCCAATAAAATGTGGCATCTAAAAAATATGATTTATTAATGCCAACAAATTTTAAAATAATTCTATATTTAAAACTACATATATTTCCTAAAACTAAGTTTTACTAAGATTGTACCATTGTAATTTATTTAGATGACGTTGGTTACTTTTCAAGTCTGTTGCATAAAAATGGTACTAAAACAGAGAGATGCTATATGTGGCAATTCTTTAAATCATAAAATGCTAACACTAATTTTAATAATAAGAACAATGTGAATAACTCTGCCCTTGACATGAATTTGACTATGTATTTCATATGTTATCCTATTAAATAAAAAACTAGAGAAATAGAAGTATAATATATGTATTTTCTGCAGATTTATTAAAAATTGTTATTATTTCTCGGATTTCCCTGAAGACTATATAAACTAGGCCCACAAAGAAGAGGTAATAAAGTTTGGAGAGAAACTAACATAGGTAAGACATTCTATTTAAAAAACAATTTATTTTACTCTATTGTAAATAAGAAAAATATTAGGCATTCTGTCTCCACTCAACAAATGGAATGTGTTTACAAGTTGTTACCAAGCAACTGCCTCATTATTTGAGTCAAATGTTGAAAATCAACTCTATCAACAAAAAATTCAATCTCCCCTTTTATAGACTATGAGAAGCAAGTATTACATCTAAATATAACTACAAAAACATATTAAAATTAGCTTCCAGACAATCATGAAATGGTTAATTGAATCCAGGCTGGTAACAACTTTTTCCAAGCATTAAATAGCAACATAACCGAATGACTAGTTGAAAAATGAGAATCAGACCCATTCTTCTTCATACATGGATAGAAAATTGATTTACTCAAAACCTGCAAATTCAAAGGTTAAAAGATGCCTTTCAAAAACATCTGAAAGCACCAGAATAGATTTACTCTTATTATGGGTACTTTGCTGATAAAAAAAGTACCTACAGTTTTATCATTGTACATTACTGATCTTATATTCACATAGGACATCAGTCAGTCCTATTTGTGATTTAGTCTTGAATATCAAATTAAAACTGGTATCATTAAACATTTGTTAAAAGCTGCCAACATGTCAGTCAAATACTTAACACAAGCAATTCAAATGCACATGCATGCACACACACACACACACACACACACACACATACATATAGAGGGTCAGGGAGGGGGAGAGAGAAACAGTGGAGAGAAGAGAGGGAAATTTTCCCTGGCACTTAACAAAATATATTGTTATATGAAACTAGAAAGGAATGCTGTTAAATAATCAAGGCCAAGAAAAACAGTGGGAAATTATAAATATGAGAGTATATACCTCCCAAATAGCAAACACATTTAAAGAAAAGATCCTCATTATAAAAAAAAAAAAACAAGAAGCTAAAGGTATAAACAACAGATAAACTGATAAAAACTTAAAAAATCGATTCTAAACAGGCCACATTAGGATAGCACAAGGAAAAAAAAAAAGATTGCTGAGAAATCTTGCCTAGGAAGTTGTAGTAGCAGCAGCCATGGAACATGTAATATATTTCTTATTCTTTTTAAAATTAAGAAAAAGTATATTTATAACTGCATGTCAGGATATACACTGGCATCAGGCACAGCTGGATCCTGGGGCACCAGCATTGTCAGGCTCAAGTCTCTCCATCTTTCGGCTCTGCTTCCTTTGCACAGGCTCCATTCTCTCGCTGCTTCATTCATCGTGATCCAACCTGTTTGTTTGAAATGTTTCTAATCCTACAAAGTCAAAGCACCTCAATAAAGAGAATCCCCCCCCCGTTAGTTAGTAAGGTCTGAGTTATCACTGGGCCAAATTGTGAATCATACAAACCGTCCTGAACAAACTGGTCCGGTCCAGGAGTAGACTTTGCTGATCAATGAGGTTGGAATTACATGTCCACCCTCAAAGCCCGGGGTTGGGTCATGTGTCCAAAGCACATGGACTGAAAACAGCAAGCAGTGGTTCCAAAAGACATCAGGGAATTGTAATGAAATGGAATGGACGTTGGCAAATCAAGAACTACTGACATCCAGGATAAGCTTTCATCATTATTACTTTTCTCATATCTGTAAATCACAGTGATAAAAGTTTTTTTAAACCTGAGAGCTTTCAGTCCTACAAAGCAAAGTTGATCCCCTATCTTCCTCTGGACAGTTCACCAAGTTGTTTCCAAAGTGTGCATTTGTAATCAATTCCTCAGAGCAAACCCAATAGATTTTTCCATTTATAAAGCAGAACATCAACCACAGGCCTAAAGACTTTGAAATTGTTCCTGCTCACTCATTTTCATGAATGACGTAAACTGTTCAAAACCTTAAAAAAATAAAAATGCCAGCTAATAAGATCATTTGTGCACATTCATTAGCATGAACACTTCCCATTGATTAGCACAAAGTGTTACAGAAAAACAGATCCAATGGATTGCATAAAGTTTGGAAACATAAAAAGTGCCAACCAATGATGAATATGAAGAATAAAAGGAACTCATATTTATCTAACAGATACTAGTAGTATAAAAAACAGAAATGTCATTCGCAGGTAACAGACTCTAGAAAATTTCATAGAACCATGCACATTAGGCACCTGTAAGAATGTTACTAATATCGGTCTTTGTAATAGCAAAAGTATGGGTGCAGATATCTACCTAAAGTAGCGTAGACCTAAAGCTTGTGGTCTGTTCATAGAACAGATTAGATATGGAGCACTGTAAAATTTGAAGCATGGCAAAATGTGTCAGCATGGTTGAATCTCAAACACATAATACGGAGTGGAAAAAATAAGTAACAAATTCACTGAGTAAATGCATATACTATATTTCTGTGAGGTCAGAAACAGTTACATAATCTTTTTAAGGTTACATTTTGGGCACCCTGAAGACAATTAAAAAATATATGAGAACAACAAATTAAAAGGTTTCTATAATGACTACCCCTTAAAAAGGGATTCAAGGGGATGTGATCGGCAGGAAATACAAGATTATTTAAATTTTATTTTAAATGTTTTATTTAAAGGCTGTTAACATGAAAAAGAAGATATACAACACAGATTACATTATGATCACCAAGGCAGCGTTTTACATGGCAAAAATCAAAACAAAACAAATTTATAAAGTAAATATACTGGCAATGAACACAGGACTTGAAATTTAATCCAAGCTACACATGTATAGAATGATTTGACCACAGAGTTATGCAGAAGAAAGTTTTTTAGAACACCAGAATTCCAGCCGTTCTGATTTAAACTGCCTTATTCCCCTGGTGAGTATTTTGAGAGGACTTCTATATTACATGAACTAACATAACACTTAAATACTGAAAAAATATAACACAGTTAAAAACGTATTTGTCATGCAATTCTGTATAAAATATATACAGTTATTACTTTAAAAATTAAAAACAAAAAATGCCCGTCTTGGCAGAAAACTGATAAGATTTTTGTTGAGGAGTTATCTAATGAAGTCATTCCTTTAAAATTGTTCAGAAATATTCATAAAGTTGTAAATTTCTACTTGTACCATCTTAAAATATTATACTATGAACACACTTTCTACTATTTACTTGGAGAACAAAAGAATATCTTGAAGACAGTGTTTCTCAAAATGAGGTCCAAAGGCCCAAAAGGATTCTAATGTGGACTCAGTGATAAACATGTCAAAAAAATACCCTGTGTGATTATTCTACATTCTGAAATGCTCTACGGCAAAGAGCAACAGTTAGAAGCATCATCATAAACACATTTCTAACATGTAAGAATTCTCTGTAAGTTATATTGTTAATACTGCTTTTTGTTTTAAGACAAGTTTCAGGCATTAAAGAAACGTACATGTCTTAGAAGCAAACGTCAATGTCTATGAACATTTTCCTTTGATGTTTTCATTAGTTACAAACTAAATTATTTGAAAAGACAATGTATGACTGTAAGCTTTGGTAAAGTCATATTTCTCATGAAATGGGGTATCTGAAAAAGATTAAAAGATAATTTATTAAATGTTTATAAATTTTAAATCAATCTAAATTTAAAACTAAATTGTTTAAACTAAGACTGTACCATTGGAACTTATTTTCATTTAGATGATTGATGGTTACCTTTCACATCCTTATTATAAAAATGGTACTAAAACGGAGTGATGTATCAGAAACTATTTAAATAATAAATTTCTAAGCACTAATTTAAATAAAAACAGTTTGAAGAACTCTAAGAACTTTAATAAGAACAGTTTGAAATTAATATAACTAGGTATTTCTTGTGTTATCCTACTAAATAGAAAATATAATTAAGGCCATAGAACTATAATATATGTGTTTTGTGTAAAAACTTAACTATAACATCCTAGAATAATATATGGATTTTTATTTGAAATTGTTATTTTTTGGATTTCCCTGAAGACTACATATAAACTGAGCTCCAAAAGTACAAGTAATGTGGTTTGGAGAGAAACTAGCATACGTTAGACATTCTACTTAAAACACAAGTTGTTTTCTTGTATCATAAATAAAAAAGAAAAAAGATGAGGCACTACGTCTCACTCAAAAACAGAATGTGTATACAAGTGTGGTTAACAAGCAACTGCCTCACTGTCAATTCAGTTCATAAAAAGCAACTCTATCAACAAATAATTCTATATTCTCTGCTATCGACTAAGAGTCAATTATTAGATCTAAATATGACCACATGAAAAACTTAAAATTAGCTTCTAGACAACTATAAAATGGTTAATTGAATCCTAGGTGGTGACAAGTTTCTCCAAGCATTAAATGGCAACATAAGCAGAGAATGCACACTTGAAAAATGAGGATCAGACCCATTCTTCTTCATATATCAGAAGAGGATTGATATATTCAAAACCTGCAAATTCATACCCATCAATCTTCCTCATGATGTCATTATCATCTGGGGTGAGCCGGACAGATTCATTAATAAACTGAGAATCGAAGTTGTCCAGACCAAATCCCCCGGACATATTTGGTTTAAAGGGAGGCACCACCTGCTTTCGCTCCATCATCTCCCAGTTAACACTGCGAAAGAACGGATGTTTCTGAACATCAGAAAATCCCCTATGAGGACAACAACCCAGTCGTTCTGCTGGGTCCTTGTTCAGAAAACGCTTCAGGACACTCACAGCTTTTATGGATAGACAACGAGGTATGAAAATGTCTCTTTCCAAAATTGCTTGCAAGCGATAATCAATTGAGTTTTTATAACGGTTACCACAGCTCTCGGCAAGATGGAATGGAGACCTCCCAACCATCATCTCATACATCACCACTCCAAGAGTCCACCAGTCCACACCGAAGCCATACTCCTCCCCTCTTATAATTTCTGGAGCCAGGTAATTAGGAGTGCCACAGAAAGTGCTGGTCGTGTCTCCCGGCTCTAAG